ACAAGCTTAAAAGCTGAAACTTTGCAGATTAATAACTACGATATCAGTTTCAAATGTTATAACTTTCAGCTTTTCTCTTTCCTCGTATATTAGGCGTTAATTAAATTGTATTTTAATTTAATATGTACTCAGTAGGGATTATATCTTATTAATAATTTTCGATAAAATCAGTTTGTTTTTTAATCAGAAATTAATAGATTTTTTTTTAAAAATAATGTCCACTATAAATAAATATAATCTGCTTCTTTTACTAATTCTTATATTATATGGATTTTAATTATTTTATACCTAAGTTTTATAGATTATTCAAAAGCATTTCATTGCGTCACAATGAACTGTTTGCTCGGTGGTCTTGAGTTTGTATACTATTAGAAACTTAACTCAGGAAATGCGCAGAAATAGAAAAAGGTGTAAATATTCAACCTTTACAGTGTAACAATCCTGAGAGAATTATAAGTCCTACCAGGATTCATTATTGACGGCCACAATCTTAACAACATTAGATATGCAGAGAGCATACACAGAAAGGAAACTATGAGAACGCCTACAGGATGTAGTAATGAAAAACGAGAAGAAACGACTAATCTTCAATCGGAAGGAGACAGAATGCGTGGTTGTCAGCATAAGGATCAGCCCAATGTGTGAATTAGAAACTAAATCAAACAAGTACAAAATTTAAATATCTGTAAAGTATTTTTTACAAAGGACAGAAAATCCGAAGGTCCATCGGAATAGCAAAAGAATGTCATCTAAAACTAAGCAAAGTATTAAGAAACTGAAGATTTTGTTAGAAACAAAGAAAAGAGTACTAAACTGTTATGTAATATCAGTCCTCCTATATGGCATGGAATTCTGGGTAATTTCTTCATTGAGGCAACAAAAAATGTGGTTCTACAGAAAGATGCTCGGAAAAAAGCACACTACTACATGTAATCAGAAATTTCTGGGGCACATAATGGAGAAAAGAGGGCTTGAAGAATTCGAAACACAAAGAACTTAGTGAAGGCAAGAGAGACGGAGAGCAGCACATAAGCTACTTAATGAGTTTGTGTAAATGGTTAGCAGAACACAAAGATAAAGAGATATAGAAAAAATATATACACCTTAATTAGAGCTACAAAAGACAGGGAGTTATGGAGTGCCATGAAAGAAGAAGAAGAAGAAGAAGGAAAAAAAGGAGGAGCAGAAGAAGAAGAAGAAGAAAAAGAAGAAGAAGAAGAAGAAGAAGAAGGAAAAAAAGGAGGAGGAGAAGAAGGAAAAAGAGGAGGATGAGGAGAAGAAGAAGAAGAAGAAGAAGAAGAAGAAGAAGAAGAAGAAGAAGAAGAAGAAGAAGAAGAAGGAAAAAGAGGAGGAGAAGAAGAAAAAAAGAAGGAAAAGAAGAAGAAAAAGAAGAAGAAAAGAAGAAGAAGGAGAAGAAGGAAAAGAAGAAGAAGAAGACGAAGAAGAAGAAGAAGAAGAAGGAAAAGGAGGAGAAGAAGAAGAAGAAGACGAAGAAGAAGAAGAAGGAAAAAAAGGAGGAGAAGAAGAAAAAAAGAAGGAAAAGAAGAAGAAAAAGAAGAAGAAAAGAAGAAGAAGAAGAAGGAGGAGGAGGAGAAGAAGAAGAAGAAGAAGAAGAAGAAGAAGAAGAGGAAGAAGAAGAAGAAGAAGAAAAAAAAGAAGCAAAAGAAGAAGGAAAAGAAGAAGGAGAAGAAGAAGAAAAAGAAGAAGGAAAAGAAGAAGAAGAAGGAAAAGGAGGAGGAGGAGAAGAAGAAGAAGGAGAAGAAGAAGAAAAGAAGAAAAAGAAGAAGGAAAAGAAGAAGAAGAAGGAAAAGGAGGAGGAGGAGAAGAAGAAGAAAAAAGAAGAAAAAGAAGAAGGAAAAGAAGAAGGAGAAGAAGAAAAAGAAGGAAGAGGAGCAGAAGAAGAAGAAGAAGAAGAAGGAAAAGGAGAAGAAGAAGAAGGAAAAGGAGGAGAAGAAGAAGAAGAAGAAGGAAAAGCAGGTGGAGAATAATAATAATAATAATAATAAGAAGAAGAAGAAGAAGAAGAAGAAGAAAAAGAAGAAGAAGAAGAACTACTACTACTACTTTCCAATGCTTCACATTGAATTCTGTTTTCTTCTTTGGCAATTATTATTATAATTTAATTTTATCCATTTTAATGTATTCTTCATAAGAATAAGACAATCCAGAAGTTTCCTTTAGTGATAAATAAAAACTAATAGTAGTAGCAGTAGTAGAGGAGAAATCTTGAAATGTATGTCCAGCCTAAATCTTTTTATTCAAGCGGAAACAAATAGACATTACATATGCATCATTAAATACTACAATAATGGCGAGGAACTAAAAGGAGAAAACAGTAAAAACACTAGAGTGTCTAAAGACTGCTGCTGCTCCATGAGCTCATGTTACTGGTGCTGGAGAACATTTAACAGTGGTTGAATCAACGGATGTAGAATAGTCAAAATATTTCTTAAAAAGGTCAAGCAAATATAGTCAGCATTTATTTATTCATATTGTTGGAGTGTTGGCGTCTAAACTGGCTCCTTAGCCTTCACTTCGGTGTGGACGAGGTTGGTAGTTAGCAACCCAATAGGAAGAAAAATAAAACTTATCAACGTGTGGATGATCGACAAAATATCACCAGACAGCAAACTAGAGGTAATGTCAAGACAAAATCTTTGTGGGGAATTAACAAGAAAGGACTCCACTAGCCCTCCTAGGAACAAACTCAGATAACGGTATAAAGAAGGAATGAATCCTGAGAGACATATATAGTAGGTGTCATCTGACCCTCATCTAGCAAATATGTGCAATAAAGATAAAATCAGGTGCCAATACGCAAAGTTATAAAATTCAAATAAGGAAATGGAAATTTTTAATATCAAGATCCTGTAAGACTGTGAAATGAGGTTGACAAAGATGGGGACTTTTATGTAGGAATTAGATACATAGTAGAAGAGATAAATTAAAGAGGAGCCGGACTAGTGTTAGATAAACAAGAAGAAGAAATTTGTTTTGGCCTACTAGCAAAAGCCATTTTTTTCTGTTGAAATTAAGAGGAAACTTCTCCGATATAGCAAGAGTAATGGCCCACGTCAGACTGCACTGAAAAGAAACAGATAAGATATTCAACACAATAGAAAATAAAAAAACAAGAACAAGAAACTGTCAGTACATAGAGAACTATATGCACATGTATGAAATGAATAAGACAATGAAATGTTTAATCAGTATGGAATTGTAACGAATGCGCTGAAAAGGGGTTTCATTGGTGCAGAGCGAATTGCCGAGTAATAGCCAACGCTTCATGGTAGAGATCAAGAGGAGACTAATTACACCATCTGAACATCAACGAACAACTTAAAAATGAAGTTTTGCGCTGTAAAGCATACACAAACAAACTGGAAATAAAAAAAGCAAATATTAAAGAAGCACATGACTATTTCTGAATTTTAATTCCACAGAAATGTTATCTTCAAACAAATTCAGCCAGTGTTGAAAAGAAAAACGGACATAACATTTGAGAACAGGTCAAAAACTCAAAAAAGAATGCCTTAAGGCAAGTACAAGTGATAACAGCTAAAAGAGTCACCTGAAAGGGAAAAACGACAAAAGTACAGAATATATGAAGTAAACATCGGACATAATTGCAATAAAATAAAATATGAATGGATCATTGAGTAATAGGCAAGGGATTTTAAGAATATTATTAATAATAATAATAATAATAATAATAATAATAATAATAATAAATATCACGAATAAAATAAACTAACGCAGATAGCATAAAAAATATGTTTAAAATAAAATAAATAAAACCAAAATAATGAAATCTATCCTAGCATGCAACAGAAAACTTTTCCTGTCTGAAAAAGAATCTTTCTCGCCAAAAAACGTCGAACTCACTCTCTTCACTACGGACCCTTAGAGGGTTAAGATGTCTATCTCATCTCCCCGTCACATTGCTTCTCATACGACAAAGTGACTTCCTTCCTCTATTACATGCAACCTTAAAACACATGTAACTAAAATCCACACACACCGTGCACAAACGCAAATAAAATTAAATGATTTTAATTCACAATTTAACATGATTTTAGTGTTATTTCCTTGTATGTTTTTTTTATTTTTTTTTTATTATTATTATTCCTGAAGACGAACAGTATGACTGCGGCAGTAGAGGAGTTAAGAATCCTGATGGTTGTCTGAGTCATCCTCTCTTTAGCGCACCTGTGTTTTCAGCCGGGTGACAAGCTACGCAGGCGAAAAACATGGGTTCTTGGCTGACATGTTGATACCCGTTCTTTCTATATCACTCTCACTCTCATTTCCTCCGATAAATGATGCCTACTGTTTCCCTAAAATAATGTAACTTAAGAAAAACTGTATCTCATTGGTTCAGTCTGTTCATACAGCCTTAGAGACACTATTGAAGAACATCATATAGGAAAATAGATTCCATAATGCAACCTGACCGTAATATTAAAAGTTTGGTCAGAACTGGCCAACATGAAGAGGAATAAATCAGATGAGACTTTAACTGAGATTATGATGGTCTCAGACATTTTTAGTTTGATAAAGTTATGGAAGTAGTACATGGAATATACGACAACGGTGAAATGCTAGAAGACCTCAGACGATCTGCGAAAAAACTACATAAAAATGTACGCGAACGCCATCGAACTTACCCAGCCTAATAAACTAAACTGTTACGATTCTAATGAACAAAACTCTTAGAAAAATTCGATCAGAAATAGTTTGTTTCTTGTTTTTGTTTAGTGATATATCAACCTGTATGGGTTATTTAGTGCCGAAATATAAATATTTTGTACGCATTTTTTTTTTTTGAGATAATAAGTCTTACTAATAAACCCACAGCCGGAGGGAGAAGAGTTGTGTTCATACCCCCCACCCAAGGGCACTCGCGCGCAAGTGAATATAAGGAGCTCAACTGGAATTGGAACATGGCCCTCTGATTAACAATTCCGAGACATTATCCATTACATCGCAAGTAAATTCAGGCTTACAGCACCTGGTATTCCCAAGCCGTCACCCATCTAAGTACTGACCAGGCTCAACGTTGCTTAACTTCAGGAATCGTATGAGAACTGGTGTCTCAACGTGATGTGTCCGTAAGACGATCAAGAACTGTGTAAGACACTGGTACAAAAGAAAATGCCGTTTTTATTCATAAAAATGTAATGGAAATCTATCAGAGTGAGCAATGCAAATGAAAGAAAAACAGTAACTATGTTTAAAAGATTCTACAAACGCTTTTGTTAAATTACAACACGAAGAGTTACTTGAAATACAAGGAAAGTTTGATTAACACGGAAATGTCATTAAATCCATAACTTCTACTAGGAACAAACAGCTATAATGTGGATAGAAAAAGAGTTTAGCGAATACACAAATAAAAATAGATATAGATGTATTACATAGAGCAGATTTCCAACCAGATTTCTTTCACCTGGACAGCAAGATTATTTTAAGTGATTGTATGGCTATAAAGATTTTTTATAGGCGAACGTAAATTTAAATGCTACGCTACGCATACAACACTGTGCTGATAGATGATTCAATGAAAGCAAGTAGAAAAGAAAAATTATTTACTGTAATAAGACAGCCCAAGTAGCGATTTATGAATGGTAAATGTGGAAATAAAACGTTTGCAAAATGGTAATTATCTGGATAGTGTAGTAACAGACAACAGAGAGTGAGACACAGTTGTGGCGTGCTAATGAGATTTGGTATAAAATTGTTAAGAAGGCTTTGGTGATGGTTGCGTTTTTGATTAGCACATCACATTTAAATTTTACAAAGAAACACAAAGAAGGAATAACAAGAGATTATTCAGTAATCAACAATAACATGTATTGAAAAACAAGCGAGTACAACAATTGTGTTTGGTGAAACAAAGTTAAGAAAGAGGAAGTAGTTCCCCTTGTACTAATGTGAGATTGTAAATATGTATTAAAAGAACTTTTTGGACAGACAGTTCACAGCGTAGTGCAATTGTAATTTTGTGTCTCTGTGTGTGAGTAGAAGAATGAGAACTCACGTACATGGTTGAGCTCTGGAGATTTACTGTTCTACTACCGTTCTTTTCTTTAATTTTCGTGTTATTCATACTCTCTGAATAGGCTCCAGGAATGAGAGCGGGAAAAATATTGAAACAAGTGTTATATTATATTATTGGTCAAAAATCAACCAATCACTGATTTTTCTTTTTTTTTTTTTTTTTAACCAGGTTTGACAAACTAAACATCAGAAAATTTGATCTGGCTCATGTGATGCATAAATTGTCCTACAGAAAATAATGCTTATTTTCTATCCAATGGCTATTGAGCATTTTGTGGGCGCGGTGTATGTAAACAACCGCTACACAGCAAATGGAAATCGCATAGAAATAGCGAAAGATGCCTTTCTGAAACTAAGCCACATATTAATGGCTTGTGAAATATCCTTAGAAAAAAGAGTGCCATGCTACACTATCATCTCTAATCTTCTATATAGCAACAAGTGTTAAACATTATCTTTACATCTGTAGAAGAAACTTGAAGCAACAGAGACGTGGTTCTGCAGATGAATCCTGAAAATAACATGCACGGAGCATGTTAAAAAGGAGTAGGATTTTTCAGAAAATCACGACTACAAAGAAATTACTGCTAACAATCAGAAAGTGATAACTGAAATCTTCCAAACGCATAGCGAATCCTCGCTATGCGTTTGGAGAACTCATCACTCACGTGTATATTGTAGGAAATATAAACAGGGGTAACAGAGAGTAATCTACTTAACGAATCTGAGTAAATAGAGGACAGAAAATGACCGCAAAGACAAAATGTGATGATAAAAGGACAGTTTGATGAACAAAAGGAAGTTGTGGAGACTGAAATGACAGCGTATATAAAAGAAGAATCAAATAAAAGGTTTGTTAATGCTGTTATGACCTTCCATATATTGAACGTTTATCTTTTAGCATTCTGCGAGCACATTTTTATCAATGTCGATTTTTTTGCAAAAAGCGGATCACAGAGCTTATCTAGCTTCAGACATATTTTCAGAAAACCTCAACTTCTAATTGGTCAGTTAATATTGAAATCATGTTCTCAACTACGTCCGAATAATATCGACCTAGTTCCTGACCTGACGAGACTACATTTTCTGCCAAAAATCAGAAATGCTTTTCGGAGCCTGTCAAGTGACTAGAAAACATATAAATAGAATGTACGAGTGAAACTCACCAATTAGAATTTACGAACGACTAGCATTTGCTAAACTAGTTCACGGCGCTTGTATCATTACTGCAGTGAAATACAAAGTTAGAATTTTAAGTTCTTCAACATGAAATGACTGTAATTCAAGTTAAAACATTCAACTAAACCACTCACTCACCAATTTCTTCTGGAACTTACTAAAAACTATTCAATCACACTATTGTATCTTGCAAAACTTAATTACAAATATTATCTGTCTATATTTCTGAGATGAGGTATTATGCACATTATTTACATTATTCGGACTATTGTCCTCATCTTTGTCGCCATATTTATGGAATTAACACATTAATTCCATCTATATTTTACGCGCGCGCGAGTTTTCCTCCCTTCCTTTCACACTCGTGCGTGTGTGCGCGCGGTTCGCACCCCTTGCTCCCTCTCACAGCAAGACGTAGCAATAATCTGGAGGAGGAAAGTCGATATAGCTCCTGCTGTTGAAGTCAGCCGAACAGATTTTGAATTTTTTCCCGCGCGTTTCTCAGCATCTCAAACGAACAGCGTTCGCAAGCCAGTTGCCTCCCGACTTTCGACCTAACTAGACGGGCAACTCATTTATTCCGTGCCCTTAACCCATATGCGGGCCGGAATATCTTATCTCAACAATGTCGACATCACACTGTACCAAGACTTCTTCTCGACTTGAAGCTGTCCGCAGGTCAGACCTTCTCCGTTTTCGACCAGAAGACGTTCGCGACACACGACACAGTCGTGGGCAAAATTTCGTATTCAACAAGTGACTTATTTTATCCCTCGTCAGTCAATCTTAAATACAGACAGGGATATCTTACTGACGAACAAACTTGCTACCCCACAGGTCAGACCTTCTCCGTTTTCGACCAGAAGACGTTCGAGACACACGACACAGTCGTGGGCAAAATTTCGTATTCAACAAGTGACTTATTTTATCCCTCGTCAGTCAATCTTAAATACAGACAGGGATATCTTACTGACGAACAACTTGCTACCCGCAGGTCAGACCTTCTCCGTTTTCTGCTAGAAAAAGTGCGAGACACACGACACAGTCGTGGGCAAAATTTCGTATTCAACAAGTGACTTATTTTATCCCTCGTCAGTCAACCTTAAATACAGACGGATATCTTACTGACGAACAAATATTCTTCGTCCCTTCTGGACTCGCCATAAGTAACTTCTCATAGACGATGCAACCAACTGCAAGTAACTCTTCGTCCTTTTCGCTAGACGTCCACAGCATTCCGTTAAAATTTTCAACAGTTAATTCAAGACCAAACTCTGAGACCCTACTTTGAACCTGAACATAAAAAAAGAAGAAAAAAAAACACAAATCACATACACTCTCAACGCCAAAAAATCCACAGTGAGTACTCCTTTCTATCTGTGCGCACCTACACCTCTGTTTAACGAGTTCCTTTTTCCAGCACCTTATAAAACTCTTTTTCCCGCCTTGTTCACCTTGCTATCCTATTTTGGTGCGGAACTTTTCCCTGATCTCGTACCACGAGATACCTACTTGTTGTTTCCATCTAATAAAAATTACACATGTTTTACATCCAGACGCCTTTGTCATTTTATTCCGGCTATCTCTTTGATGTTTATAATTTATGCACTCGTTCATTCACTGTTCATTCACGCATTTCTTTTTATACATTGTTTGTGGACTCGGTAGTTTAGTGTGGTGTCTGGCACATGGCCATTTCGTAATAAACCTGGGTCTGCAACATATTTATTACAATTATTATTATACCTATTATTATATTTATTATAACGTTTCGGCCGTTGTACGCTCCGGCCTTCTTCTGCTGGTTGGAATGTCGAACTGGGGTAGACTGTTCTAGTTCCATGTTATTTCCCTCTGAAAGTTCTCCACTGCCTAAACCGGGTATTGAACTCACACTCTTTGGGTCTTGTCACTGGATCTAACACAACGCCTTTATCCACTGTGCCATGTGTCCTTGGGGACATCTAGGTATAAATTCCTATGTATTAATAACCTAATGTCTTCAGCAACTATTTTTACCAGTACTCATATTGCAATTTTTGCTGTTATCATTGCATGTTTTTACCAGAGCTCATATTGCAACTTTTGTTGTTATCATTGCTTACAATACGAATATTCAACTACAAACAACGAAAACTAATTAAACATTACGGAACATTCACTCCTTCAACTTTTCGGAAGCTAAAAGTTTATCAACCTATTCTCAGCTTTACAGAATTCTTTCGACTCTCTCACAGAGAACATTTTGAGCGCCAAGTTCATTGAACTTTTTATGAACTCAGATAAAAAAATATATCATTAGTAAAGGCTTTAATTCCAGTCAAAGGGAAGTAATTCCTATTAACTGTTCATGTATATCATTTGTTCTTCTTATAAAAAGTTAATTTTTTGTGTTCTCTCTTTTGTTGTTTTTCGTTTGCATGCACATTCATAAAGTAAAAAATGTATGGGTTGATTTAGGCAGTCAATACCGCTACATTATCGTAATAAGCTGAGTTTAACCACAAAATATCACCAAGTGACAAAATCGCGTGCTCCATTTTTAGCTACAAGTCACCCACTTCGTGATTCTTTAGACTTTCCTACTGTTTATACAACCATCACGGAAGCGACGAAGTTTGTCGAAGTTTTTAATTTTCTTTATGCTGTTGCACGGAGGTCCATCATCTGGATATTAGATATGATTTCATGTTTTTACTCGCTCTTTTTTTTTAATTCAGTAGCTCTCCATCACTAGAAAGGGAACAAGAACCCACACGTTTCCCAATCAGCCACACAGCTAACATTATCTCTTATGATAAAGAATTTTCCACTCTTTGTCTGTTTGAAGCAAATTCAATCAGCGAAGCAGTTTCCTTTTGCTTCATTGATTTC